AGCAATGGGTAGAGTGTATTTCTTTAAAGTTAAGACTAGTTTAAAGTTATCTTCATTGAAAAGTACAGTGCTTTTCCTTCAAAAATAAGGACATTTCGATGTGACCCCAAACTTTTGAACGGTAGTGTGTATAAATATTTTTTTTTTACACAGACAAGGTTTACACACATTAAAACAACTTAATATGACATGTAAAAGCTGCCCATAACAGTGATATTAGTAAATATCTAAAAGACATTTTCTACTAAACCTGAAAGAGATCCACTCACAGGACGGAAAGGCGCATCTTTGAAATTATAAGGAATAAAAAATGATGCGAAACAGATTTATCTATTTTAAGGCTTTTAATTCCATTAAACCCAGTAACCTGAATGATGTTGCAAATCTGAAGGTTTTTTAAAAACGGAGAAACATAACAGCTGGATCCTTTAAACAGATTCACTCATGCATTTAAAAATGTTCCTTACTTGTAGTGTTCATCCTCCACAAACTTCTGCAGCTCCTCGATATACCTGACAGAGTTCAAATACTTCTGGATGTGAGGCAACACTGGGATGTCTGGGAGAGGAGCACACAGTTATAAGTCAGAGAAAAAAACACATCAGAGTGAATTCAGTTTAAGAGAGAAGGAAATTAATTTTCGATATAAAATACAAAGTAGTGCATAAAAAGAAGGGAACATTTTGTCCTTATTTTTTTTAACATTTATTGATACTTAAATATAGTTCAGGACAAAAAGTTAAATAGCTTTCAGACAAGAGCAGATAAGGAAAATAATCCAGAAATTTGACTAAAGGCCAGATCACACCGGCTGCTAAACACTCTTTAATCTCTGATCCTATTTTTTTCCATGTCTCGCTGAGAGGCTCCGACTGGGCAGGGTGAGCAGATCTGTGCAGATTTTTTTATCCTACATCTCTGTTGTTTACAGAACTTATAACAATTCCCCTCATTTCCCTTCGACAGATTATAAAAGTTATAAAAAAAATAAATAAATAAAAAACACTGTCGCATTCTATAAAGCAAAACCCCTCTAACAAGTCTGTGCAGCATCTCAAACTAGAACAGATAGAAAATGTTCATATATTAAAAACATAATGAGATCTACGTCTAAAGAAAGAAAACGGCAATAAACGGCATGGGACGGTTTCTATGCCGACTGAAGCAGAGAGGTGATTCTCAGACAGAGATCTGGGAAGTTTATCTAAGTTTTTCTTTCTTCTTTTCATAAACAGGTGAAACGATACGCTGCGCTTACCTGCTCTGTCCGCCCCTCCTTTTGTTTTTCTTTTGAGGCTCAAAGAGGATCACTACTTTATCTGTTTTCTGTCCTCCTGAACTCCTATCAGGGGAAACTTTTCTATTTCTTAATGTTTCATTCATCGTTTTTTACACCATGTATGACTCCAAAACTTACTGAGCCCCTAAAGGGACATGGAGGGAAAAAATAAACTTTTGCGAGATCTCGCAAAACTATTGCGGGATCTCGCAAAAGTAATGCGAGATCTCGCAAAAGTATTGCGAGATCTCGCAAAAGTATTGCGGGATCTCGCAAAAGTATTGGGGGATCTCGCTAAAGTATTGGGGGATCTCGCTAAAGTATTGGGGGATCTCGCTAAAGTATTGGGGGATCTCGCTAAAGTATTG